GGTAGGATTCTATAACAGCATAACATCAATAGGAAAGAAAACTGGATTTGGAAAAAGAAGAAAAAAGATGTGAATAAAACACAGACTGGATAATCCAACCTCCTCTAATTGTTGGTTATAGAAAAGCAGTTGTCTCAATTAAAAATAGAAAAGTGCCACTTAAAGAAAAAAGATAAAAGTAACAGATGGCACAAGATTTCAATACCTAGAACATACACAGCATTTCCAATCATCTTCCAGTGAAAAATACTGAGTGTCTAGGATGTGATCTTCCTATTACAATCTCAACTGATTAGATTTCTAACTACTTTTAAGCAGAATGAAATGGAAAAGTATGTGTATAAAACAACAGTAATGCAATAAACATGAAGAAAAAAAAAACCTGAGCTAAAATGGAGTTGATTAAAAAGAAAAAAAATCTAAAATAGTGGGATTTTAATACTACCAAAGAATCTCTTAAATGTTGGAGTGTATAAAGTAATATTCGGGAGATAGTTCCAACAAACTGTTCACTACCCTCCAAGCAGGGTGGTAGAGGTTATAACTGGACATCAGGTGTACATCACTGAAGAGTTTCAACTCAAATTTCTGTAATCACCTTCTTTGCAAATATTTGTAAATTAGAAATGAAATTCATCTGTCTGTGCCAGTTGTGACTGCCATGGGAAAATATTGATTGCTAACTGATCTCTTGCAGTCACTTCAATACTAAGCTTTCATAACAAGCCTTGATAAATATCAGTTATCAACAGTACTTGTTATCTGAAAGTTGTTTGTATTTCTGATCATCTAGAAATTACATGTAGGTTGAAGGTATGCAATTTTCATAACAACTGTATAATTTGTGTCTATGACAGGAAAACAAGTGTTCAACATCATGCTAAATTAAACAACGACTTATAAGACAAGTATGTATAGTCTCTGGTTAATGTCTAATTTTAAAATCATAATTTAACTTTTTGTTTTTATTTTAATATAACATAGAATACTCATACACACAATAGAACTGCACTTTTAGGAAAAAGGTTGTTGTCAAGATTTCCCAGTCATTCATTCAATTTAACAAATATTTTTGAGAGTTTACTATGAGAAAGGCAGCACACTAGGTATGTGATTTCTTATATTATGTATTTTAAATGTGATGCTAAACCTGTTTGTCTGCAAAACAACCCTGTTTGTCTCTAGTGAACTCTTTCCTCCTTTTTTCAGCTTTTTCTTCCAAAAGCAGAAATTATCTTAAAATAAAATCAAGATAAATCATTATATATAATGAACTTAAACAGAAGGTACCATCCCTATGAATTCACTATAACTATAAGAAACTAAAAAATACAAATAAGTTTTAAGCCCTTATTTGATGACATCAATACTGCTATCAGTGAAAAAGTAAATGGACTGTGCTGTACTCTAACCCAGATAGCTGATAAAATGTATGACTAACTTATTAAACCACTCATTAAACCATAAACCACTCATTAAACCAAATTAATTAAGTCTCACAAATCTAATATAATTTTCCAAATAACTTGAAGTAGGTGAAAAGCTCAACTGATACCTTTTAAAAACAGCAAGTAAGTAATCTTGGTTGAAGTACATCTAGTTACACCAGGCAGCTATTCCCTTTCTTCTTCATTTCTTGAAGAAAGGTTATTAAAACTGAAACATTTTCATTTGCCTTTATAGGTAAAGAGGTGAAATTCAAATGCCAAAGGTGAGAGGTCAGAAGTAGTCACATTTTTCTCGCTGTCAGAGACTGACTCTGGGATGTAGGGCACAGGGGAGAGGTAAATCACATTTTAAAGTCTATACTCAAACTGTAGCACACTACATCCTTGCTATATTGGCCTGCTATAGTTACAACACAATATGGTCAGTTATAATCCAAACACACATAGAATTACAGCAAAAACAGACTGCTGACATAAGCATTTACTCTGGACTCAGTACACTGAGCAACTATTATGTTTATCAGCTGTTTTGTTAAGCAAAATCATGATTCCAAATTAGACTCAAAATTTTAGTGTATGGACCAATATATCAGCAATTTGGGGGGTATGATTTTGCTAATGAAACAAACCTTCCATGAAAATGTTTTTAAAAAATGAGAACACAACATAAACTCATATAGTCACAGTGCTGATAATTAGCTGCACTGTCATTGTGGCCCTAGTCAGAAACCTCCTCTAAGGCAACTTTTAAGCACATTATGTCTGCATAAGGTTTAAGGGAGTGAAGACCAAAAGGAGTTCAGGTACATTCTAAATGGACTAATGAAATATCTTCAGTTCAAATGATTTCTGAACAGGGTCTACATGTGTGTGGCGCTACCAATTATGGTAGTGCTGAAAAAGGGCTTCTGCATTGGGTGGAAGGTAAGGCAAGACAGTCAAAAAGTCATTCCAATTGGACAGATTTTATGATCTGGAGTGTGTATTTACTATACTTCATCAGTTCTAGGACGTATATTTTTTGAGTTTTCACACGCCTGAAAGCATCTTACACTTTCTGTCTGCCAGGCAGCAGTCCTGCTGCAGTTGTCATAGCTTGCACGTAAGTATCGACATTTGCAGAATTGGTGTCACTGCTTGGAAAAATCCCAGGAACAGCAGAGGAGCGATCTTTTAAGGAATGCTGTGTCACCAAGGTTTTGATGACACAGAATATGATACTATGTGGAAAAACAAGGATATCAAGACCCTGAGTCCAAAAGTTATTCAGAAAAACTAAATCCATTGTAAACAGGTTTGAAGAATACCTGAATCCTGGCTTTCTCACTACTGCACAAGTGATATTTTCAACCAGGTAATTTTTTTTTTTGGCAGGGGGCGATGGTGGGTGGACATTGTCCTGTGCACTACAGGGTGCTTAGCAGCATCCCTGGCATCTATTTACTAGATGCCAATAACACCTGACAAGCTGTGACAGCCAAAAATGTCTACAAACATTGCCAAACGTCTCCTGGGGACCAAAAACCTCCTCCCAAGCCCAACCCCCACCCCATCCCCGCTAAGGTGAGAACCACTGCCTCAATTTATTTTGCTTAGTTTTTCCTTTTTATAAATACACAAGTTGGGCTGGCCCGGTGGCGCACTGATACAGTGCACCGCTTGGGAGTGCGGTGGCGCTCCCGCCGAGGGTTCGGATCCCACATACAGACCGGTTCCCGCTCACTGGCTGAGCGAGGTGCGGGAGCAACACCGAGGGTTGCGATCCCGTTGCCGGTCCCGGTCCGGTACGGGCGCGACACTGAGGGTTGCGATCCGTTGCCGGTCATGAAAAAAGACAAAAAATATATATATATATACAAGTGATATGTTTTTTAAAATTCAAAATTCGTCTTAATGAGCTGTTTCAGTAAGAAAATTCTAAGGGGTAAACTACTGTGTTGTTATTTGCAGCAATTGTTTTCTTAGTGGTACATCAAATACAGTAAAATCTTAAAATCGATGGCACCCTCAATTCAATGAAATTTGGCCACCCGCCATGCATTCTTCTTTGTTATGGAAGTCTCATCCTGATTTCCTTTTGGGGAATTACTTCCTCACTATGTACACTTTTAGTGATACCCAGTTCTTCCCTCGCTAATGGTTCTGGAATCTTCCTTGATTCTTTTTCCCTATCCAATCTGCTTTGAAAAATTTTCTTGTTTCCTAAGTTAACCAGAATTAAGTTTCAGTCTTTCAACCAAATCTAACTGAAACACGGTCCTTATTTAAGATATCCTGATAGGAGACATTTCAGAATATTACCCTGCCACCAAGTTCACCAGCCTGTTAAAAATGTCACCTCTTGGCCGGCCCGGTGGCGCACTGCTGTAGTGCGCCGCTTGGGAGCGCAGCGGCGCTCCCGCCGAGGGTTCGGATCCCACATACAGACCGGTTCCCACTCACTGGCTGAGCGAGGTGCGGGCGCAGCACCGAGGGTTGCGATCCCGTTGCCGGTCCCGGTCCGGTACGGGTGCGACACTGAGGGTTGCGATCCGTTGCCGGTCATGAAAAAAGACAAAAAATATATATATATATACAAGTGATATGTTTTTTAAAATTCAAAATTCGTCTTAATGAGCTGTTTCAGTAAGAAAATTCTAAGGGGTAAACTACTGTGTTGTTATTTGCAGCAATTGTTTTCTTAGTGGTACATCAAATACAGTAAAATCTTAAAATCGATGGCACCCTCAATTCAATGAAATTTGGCCACCCGCCATGCATTCTTCTTTGTTATGGAAGTCTCATCCTGATTTCCTTTTGGGGAATTACTTCCTCACTATGTACACTTTTAGTGATACCCAGTTCTTCCCTCGCTAATGGTTCTGGAATCTTCCTTGATTCTTTTTCCCTATCCAATCTGCTTTGAAAAATTTTCTTGTTTCCTAAGTTAACCAGAATTAAGTTTCAGTCTTTCAACCAAATCTAACTGAAACACGGTCCTTATTTAAGATATCCTGATAGGAGACATTTCAGAATATTACCCTGCCACCAAGTTCACCAGCCTGTTAAAAATGTCACCTCTTGGCCGGCCCGGTGGCGCACTGCTGTAGTGCGCCGCTTGGGAGCGCAGCGGCGCTCCCGCCGAGGGTTCGGATCCCACATACAGACCGGTTCCCACTCACTGGCTGAGCGAGGTGCGGGCGCAGCACCGAGGGTTGCGATCCCGTTGCCGGTCCCGGTCCGGTACGGGTGCGACACTGAGGGTTGCGATCCATTGCCGGACATGAAAAAAGACAAAAAGGGAAAAAAAAAAAAATGTCACCTCTTCTCCTCACCACTCACCAATGGGTAGAGTGAACAAGGGTAAAGATGAAACAAGAATTGTTAAAACTGTGTGATGGGTTATGGGAATTCACAGTAGTCTTCCCTATTTCTGAATGAGCTTAAAAGTTTCCATAATAAAAAGGTTGCAACGCTAACCTTTACTCTATACATTCTTTATTCTATAAAGAAAAAATCACAATCGAAATAATTGCAAAGTCTTTTTCTCAAACAAGTTTGTTCAAAACTTACATGTACACATGGCCTTTGCCCAGATCTTCAATGCTTGAGAACTGGTCTACAGTTCTGTGTGCATGTGGGGTGAAGAGAGAAAACCTGGTAAGCAGGGCATATATGAGTTACAGTACAACGGCATGAGGAGCCATCTTCTCAACCTGCTCACAAGTCTTTATTCGATTTAAGCAATGGACACAATAACGTATAAATGCTCCATCACTCCAAAAAGTTGTTCTTAAAATACTGCACATAAAAGTTTCTTAATGCTTTTTCTAAAGCTTCTTCCCTGGTAGAAAAAAAGGAAAGAAAAAATAGCTATTGATTCTTTTAAGAACTATCATATAGATGAACACACACTTTATACTAAGATTTGACAGCTGGAAGTTTTCATGAAGGAGGCTTCAAACAAAACATTTTTTTAAAAGAAAAAATAATAAAAAGGCTTTACCACCCTCTGCTCTCCTTAAAGGTGACAGAAAATAAATTCTTTATCAATAGTCATTTATCCAGGTTACAGCTAGGCTGCCAACCCCATTCCACATGAGATATGAAATTGGTTCTCACTGGCACCTTTTATTCATCTCATCTGCCCTTTCCCTTTCATGGACCAAGGCAGAGCAAATGGGAGTTAAATAATGAAGGAGAAAAAAAAACATCACAGTGAGAGTTATTTTAACAAAAAGCCTGTACCGTATGGGGAGAAAGGAAAACAAAAAGACCCTATGTGAAACATAATAAGCAAAGTAAATATGAGTCTAACTAAAAAATCCTCATTAAAATAAAATTCAATTAAAAATAATAAAATTTCAAAGAAATTCTCCAATAACATATTGATTTTCTTTGCTGTTTAATGAAAGTAATCTGAATTTTCTTAATATTTAAACTACACTATCTAATGATATACTCCATCAACCCAACCCAATTAAATAATTATAAAGTGCCACGTGGGAAACTATTGAAATATATGCAAGCCCTTTTGGAAATACTAATTACATCCTGATTTTTAAAAACCTAAGCCATAAGCATTCTCTATTTCCTGAGAAAATGGTGGTCTTAATCTAAAACTCATAGTTTGTTCCATACACTTTCTGCAAATTGGTAGTTAGTTTAGCAGTTTGTCAAAATAAAAGAAATATTAGAGAACATTTTTCAAACTCCTCATTTTTAGAGATGAAAGTTTAAGGCCCAAAGAGGTTCAATTACATGTTGATGGTCCTATGGCCTATGAGGACTAAAATCCAGTTCAAAGATTCTTTACATTTAGCTCTCTCAAACAAAATAATTAGGCAGTTCAAAACAAAAGAAACACATACTAAGCATCTATTCAGTAGTAGGCATGTATCTGGTGCTCATGGTAGAAAGACATTCACATGATCTTATAATCATAATGCTCTGTGCTATATGCAAATTTCAAAAATAGCACAGATGGGAGGCACTTGACTCTATCTCGGATTAAAATGTATTCACATATTTTTATGAATAAGTACATACTTTTAAGTCTTTAAAAAGTAGTACTTTCTACCAAAAAAAATTATCTATGATGTTCTGTATGTTGCTTTTTTTCAGTTTATAGCTCCTCATCATCTTTTTGAATCAGCACATTAAGGATCTACTTGGCTGTCTCATATTCCACTGTAGGCATACATAATTCATTCATCCACTCCCCCAGGATGGTCATTTGGATTGCTTCCAGTTTCCTACTATTACAAAAATATCTCAATGAGCATTTTTTAGCAGTTATTATTAGTATTATTAATAATAGGAACAATGATGGAAGTATGTACATAGAAAAAAGTCTCTAGCAATAAAATGTTAAAGAGTGGTTATCTCCAGAGGACAGAATTATACAGAATTTTGATTTTCAACCTTACTAAGTGAGTATGTTACCAATAAGTGCTATCTCTTAATCAGGGCACTATGTACAACATATGATGTTCACCATTAGCTACAATATTGTTTACTTTAATACCCAGAGCAGAAAATATAATTTTCAATCATAAACACATTTCTTGATAGACTGAGAAACTCCTGGAGAATACTCAAGAACTACTTCTCACATATTAAGAAAACAGAGCTTGGTATTCATGCAACGAACAACTATACAAAAGATATAATGATAATTTACAGTCAAGTTTGGGAAGAGGGTCACATAGGGCTTTAACAAGCACAACCCCAAACTGAAAATGGCCAAGTTCATATGTTCAGCACATTCTGAAGTTAAGCCATACACAAATTATGAGTCTTAATTACAATATCCTCCTCTAAAAATATTTCATAAATATGACAAGTCCACAAAAATCTCTCCCAGATACCACAAAACTCACCGTTTCTGATTTTCAGATTCTTTCTTGGCTTGCTCCAATGCCAGCTCCTCAGCTACTCTTTTCTTCAATTCTTCATCAGACACTAGAATCAATAAAGAGCAGCAGATAAAATAAGTGACTTCTTATAACAAAAGCAAGAAAATACTCAGGAAAACAAAGCTGAGACTAGATCTGAATGGGCGAAGTTTCGCCAGGTGGTCAGTGTCTCCCTGGAACTTCCTAAGCACTGTGGAAAAGACCAATTAATGCACTTCAGGAGTAATTCAATCAAGAGTTCCCTGGTGACCCAGAAATTTCCGCACCTGCCAAAAATTATAATAAACTCAAGGAGCTGCTTAATGCCCAGTGGGGACTGAGCTATTAAGTACAAATTCTTTAAAATGATGTCCTAACATTAAAGTCTGACAATCATGTGGAAGGGGAGAAATGGCTGTAAGGAAGGATCTCTAAAGAGGAAAATTATACCAAAATCTTCTCACTTCAATAATTAAACATTAACAGAATCATTTATTGCAGAGAACATCATTTGTATTTACATTCATTTTTCCATGATTTATGAAAAAAGACACTTATAATTTATGAAAATTTTGGAACCATATTTTTTTGGAATACATGTCATTCACATTCAAGTGCCAACAATTGGAGAAAGACACAGAACAGTCTAAGAACAAAGCTGTAGCTTTCTAAATACCCGATAACTTGTTCTGAAACATCTGGTCTTTCCACATAAAAGACTGTGTACAAGATTATGTTTTGTAAAGATTCTTACAGCTAAGATAGTAAATAAAATGGACTAATTTCACATACTTCCTTAAGAGCCTTCCATAACAAATAAGCAAAGACTATTTCCTCCTCACTAGAAACCCACTATCTAAAATTATGACCAAGAAACCACCATAAGCACTTGGGAGAATCTAGGAATACACACAGGACCTAGGTATTACTTCAAATGGTTGAGCTTATTGGAGGGAAAACTACACAGTACTGTCTCTGATCTTTGGATACATGTTATTAGACAACCTCAACATTATAAATGCCTTGCCTCAGGGCATATGTGAAAAATTAATTACAGTAAGATATAAAAAAATCTTTTTAAATATTTAGCTAATACTGGACAATAACAAAGAAGATACAATGGGCCCTCCATATTCATGGGTCCCTCATACATGGATTCAAACAATTACAGATGGAAAATATTTTTAAAAAATAACAATAATAATAATAAATTATACAAATAAAAAACAATACAGTATAACAACAATTTTAAAAGCATTTACATTGTATTAGGTATAATAAGTAATCTAAATATGATTTAAAGTACATGGGATTTAAAATATATGCAAATATTAGGCCATTTTATATGAGGGACTTGAACATCCTCAGATTTTGGTGCCTGTAGGAGGTCTTGGAATCTTGTAAGGATGTTTTCTCTTAGTTGTGGATTATTAGAGAGCAACAACAGCATCAAAGGATACCATCAAGAAGGTGAAAAGACAACCCACAGAATGAGAGAATATATTTGCAAATCATACAGCTTATGAGGGACTTGTATCCAGAGTATATAAGTATACAGAATATACAACATACAAAAACTCTCAGAGCCAAACAATAAAAAGACAACCCAATTAAAAATGAGCTAAGCGGGCCGGCCCGGTGGCACACTCGGTAGAGTGCGGTACTTGGGAGTATGGTGGCGCTCCCGCCGAGGGTTTGGATCCCATATAGAGACTGGTCCGCTCACTGGTTGAGCGTGGAGCGGGCGCGACACCGAGGGTTGCGATCCCGTTGCCAGTCGCGGTACGGGCGCGACACCGACGGTTGCGATCCCATTACCAGTCACGAAAAAAGACAAAAAGGAAAAAAAAAATGAGCTAAGGATATAAATAGACATTTCTCCAAAGAAGATATACAAATGGACAATAAGCACATGAAAAGTTGTTCAATAGCATTAGTCATTAAGGAAATGCAAATAAAAACCACAATAACATACACCACTTCGAGCACACTATAATCAAAAAGACAATCAGTACTGGTAAAGATGTAGAGAAACTGGAACCTTCATACATTGCTGGTGAGAATGTAAAATGACATAGCCCCTGTAAAAAAACAGTTTGACAGTTACTCACAATGCTAACCAGAGTTACTGTTTAACCCAGCAATTCCACTCTTAGGTAAAGAAAGGAAAAACAGACAAGACCCGGACTAACAGTTCGCCAGAGAAGTTCCGCTTTATTCAAGGACTGCGTGTACATTTATAGGGAGTTGCATTCTGGGTTTGGATAGGGGGTGGACGGGGCGGTAGCTGATTGGACGGGGCTGGGCAGGAAGTGAGCCTTGACTTGTGATTGGCTGAGGTTTGACGCGGGTGGGCTTGGGTGTTGGCACCGGCAGGCTTGTTTACTGTGGAGAAGAACCCGGAAGGGCGCCATATTTCTAGGGAATGCTTTCCCCCTACCCCTCCGCTTGAGTGCCCACGGTATCTTTACATTCGAGTGCCTACGGTATCCTTACATTCCTCCCTTTTTCCTCTGTTGTGGGAATGGGTCGCCGTGATCTTCGAGCTACTTCCTGCTGGACAGGGGCAGGAAGAGGAACTGGGGAAAGATTGGGGATTTTGTAACAGGACCCAAAAGAGGGTAGAGAATAAGATAATTTTGAAGGGGGAGAACTCTAGAACGGTTCCCTGAAGCCACAGGTCGGTGATTTGTTGAGTCCAGTGTGTGTAGGAGGCTGTAGGGAAGAGCATCCAGGCGTCCGCGGCCAAAGCTTGCAGGAACAGGGACCATTGATGAGGCAGGTCCATTTTAACAGCGGGTTAGCTGATCTGGTGAAGGGCAGGCAGGATCCTTGGTGGCCAGGAGCTGGTAGTT